TTAGGCTCCGATGGCTTTAAGGGCGTTTTAAGGGGTCTTTAAGGGGTTTTCAAGCGCTTTTAAGGTCTTTTGAGGGTTTTAAGGCGTTCTGAGGGTTTAAAGGGTGTTTAAGGGCTTTAAGGGTTTTAAGGGTTTAAGGGTTTTTCAAGGGGATTTAAGGGTTTACGGTTGAGCAACCCACTGTCAGGAGGCGCCTCATTGTCCCTTCACTGATATTTCCCGTGCAGAGGAAGCGCACTTGCGAAAAGTGGTGACTTTGCTAGCACATCTGTCGGGGAATTGCCCCCAAGTGTGCTTGCAGCGGCAAGTATAGCTGCCAACAATTTAAGGATCGGGCCCCGTACGCTGTAAACCCCAAACCCGAAACCTGGACCGGAGGCCCCGAGGCTCCCACGCCGGCGACCACCCGCCTGGGGAATGTCTGCGGTCCAGGGTTTAGGGTTCAGGGTTTAGAGTTTAGGGTTTCAGGTTTAGGGTTCAGGCTCTGGGGTTCAGGGCTTAGTGTAAATCAAGCACATTTCACCGTGGGTTTGCAGCGAATACCCCCTAAATATTTGGGGTCTCGGAGGAATTGAGATTCCAGTTCAGGAATGTAGGCATTTAGGTCCTAGTTGTCTTAGTTTAGGGTTAAACTTGAGTTGAGTATAGGGGTTTGGGGTTTAGGGTTCGGGGCCTAGTATGGCTTTGAGCCTTGCGCTCCTTGAAAAAAATTGGGGGGGGGGGGGCTTAGGGGGGGCTCTTTCAACAAGAACCTCATTTCGTGCCTAACGATCATGTACGGTCATGTGCATCTACCGTGGCCTCAACAACTTGCGTTGCTCTGTAAACCCTACACCCTGAACCCTAAACCCTAAAACCCACTTCCTACAAGAACCTCGTCCTTGCCAGGTGGCTGGAGCACGACGTTCGGAGGCATGCTGGCGTAGGTCAAGCAAATGACAACCACGGCCTCGAAGGGGTGGGGTTCAGGATTTAGAGTTTAGGGTTTAGGGTTTAGGGATTAGGGTTTAGGTTGAGGGTAACTTGTGGGTTTTGGGAGGGTGAACTGGGGTTGAAAGCTGTATGCTCGTTTAGGCTTGTGATTCAGGCCTTTGGCGGGGGTCTCTGAAACTCACTTCGTTTCGGTGTGAACTTCTTGGCTTAGAACTGAACTAGGCTGGTCCTTCAAGCCCTCTGAACAGTACTCCCAAATATGATCCTGGTCAACTGGTCAAACACATGAGGGATAATGGAAACACTGAACCCCGAACCTCAAGGGCCTGCCGCTCTAAGCCCCGTGGTAGGGAGTGGAGAGGTGCGTCTCAAATTCTGATGCGAGCTTTTAGGGTTCTGGATTAGGGTCTTGGGAGTTTAGAGTTTGGGGTTTAAGGCTGGTGTGATCTAAACTGGTTTTCGGCTATCGGTCCGTTCCCTCTAGTTCATAGTATGAAAGAAACTACCCAACCTGAAGCCGCCCAAGACCCCCCCACCCAGGCCAAGCCCTCAAACCTCGACCTTCACGCCCCCAAAAACTCTAACCCCTAAGCCGTCAAAACTCCCAACTCCAAACCCTAACATTGAGCCCCCCCCCCCCCCCCCCGCCCAAAAAAAACCCTAAAACGATAGAAAGGCCCTAAAGGCCCTAAAGGCCCCAAACCCAACAGGGCCCTCCTCTCCGCCCAAGCGGCGATGTACCACATCTGGCGCACCACGGCCATGAGCCCTCCGACCTCACAAGTTAGGGTTTAGGGTTTAGGGTTTAGGGTTTAGGGTTTAGGGTTTAGGGCTTAGGGCTTAGGGCTTAGGGCTTAGGGCTTAGGGCTTAGGGCTTAGGGCTTAGGGCTTAGGGCTTAGGGCTTAGGGCTTAGGGCTTAGGGCTTAGGGCTTAGGGCTTAGGGTAAGGAGCTAGGCAGGGCCTAAGGATTCCTTTTGACCCAAAAAAGCCCACAACCCCCAAACTCCTACACCCCCAACCCTCAGCCCTCCCTAACTCCGAAACCCTAAGCCCGAAAGCCTAAGTCCCTAAAACCCCACGATAATGCCCCTGAAGCTAGACAAGCCCCAGAGCCAGCTCTGAGCACACCTTAAACTCTAAAACCCTAAACTCCTAAACTCCTAAACTCCTAAACTCCTAACCTCCTAAACTCCTAACCTCCTAACCTCCTAACCTCCTAAACTCCAAAACTCCTAAACAACTAAACCCCTAAACCCCTAAACCCCTAAACCCCCAAACCCCTAAACCCTGAACCCCCCTAGAGCCCCAGGGCTCCAGGCCTCGACCCTTTCGCAAAAAAAAAACCACAAGAAGGACTTTTCTGGGTACGCAAACGCTCCCACACAGGAAGATGCACTCCTTGGTGGTCCCCGAGCTCCAGCTTACGGTAGAGCTAGTATTATAACCCTAAACCCTAAACCCTAACGTTTAGGGTTTAGGGTTTCGGGTTTAGGGTTCGAAAACTGGTGCGCTTGATGAGATGAAGTGGCGACTTCGGGTTGAAGCCGACGGCTCAGGGTTTGTTGCTTGCGGGTGTGCTCTAAGCTCTAGGCGCCCGCTTTTGGGGCAGAGGGTCGCTGGGGATGGGGTTTATGGTCTAGAGCGTAGAGGCTCATAGGCTTCTAGGCTTACAGGCATGTCGGGTTTGGGGCTTTGGGGTTGAGTGCTTGTTGGGATTTACGCGCTCAGGATTTCGGGGCGTCAAGGTGTAGCTTTCGGAGCAGCAGGGATGGCATGCCGATTTGGGCTGCGCCAGCAGATGCATCTAGACAAACCATCGGCCGAGGCCAAGTGAAGGAAGGCACCATTGACATTTCGGGCATACCAACAGTTGGGTCCTTAAAAGCCTCTTGAGATCCAGGCATCCCTCGAAAGTTTCTAGCAGAAGACGAGTACACCCGAAGTCCTGAAGGAAATTACAGGGGCAACCCAGGAAGGAGCAGCCCAGCCACGGAAAGCATACCCCCTTTTTGCTTGATAGGGTGTAATGAGGTAACCTAAGAACCTCATCCAAAAGCAACTGAATAAGGCCGGGGGGGGGGGGGGGGCACTCTAGGTCCTAGCACGAAATCCTTGAAAACCGGGCTTGTTGACAGGGACATCAAGGTCGCCAGAGTATCGACTAGTTTGCCAGGCAGGCCCCTTAAGCACACTAAGTATGAGCACCCTAAAAAGGTAAACCAACGCCAGGGCCTACCCAGTTTAGGATTTAGGCTTTCCGCCCTATACAGCCCACACCCTGGCCCTAGAACCTCAGGTGCCCCCTTAAGGTTTGGCACCGGTTGCATGCGCTCTTTGAATTCAACATAAATTCATGGAGCCGTTTCCTCCTTGAGAGGCGCGAAGAAGGAGTCGCTTCGCTCAAGGATGGCTTCTTCGGGGCTCTACGACCCAAAACCCGAAGTACCGTAAACCCGAAGGACCCAAAATCCCTCCGCGCAAAATCACCAAAATCAGAACCTAAACCCTAAACCCTAACCCTTCTTTGCAGTTTCGGATCGAAACTCTAGCGGTCGATCGGGCGCCAACGTCTGGGTTGTTTTGGGGGGTTTAGGGCTCAAGGCGCAAGGCTAGGGAGTTCCCATGTAGAACTTCTGCTCACTCTGCTCTCCTTCTTCGTTGGGGGGCGGGGGAGGGATACGGCAGCTCAGTTTCATCTCTAGCCACCTGCAAGTGGGAGCATTGTCGTGCGCATCCCACTTATGCCAGAGTGGCTCTGGACGGGCCAATGATTATCTGAAAGCAGACAGGTGTGCGACGGGGCCCTAAACGATGTAGCTTCGGGGGACTCGGAGACGTTGAGGCTGTGGGCTTGTATCTCGTGGGGCGTCCAGGATATTCGGGCTACCAAACAAGCGAACGAAACCGAAGCACAATCCAACGAAAAAGGAAGCCCCCTGCAGAGTGTTATCTGCAACTACTGCCTACTTCAGCCGACACCCAAAACCCTAAACCCTACATACCCAAAACCCGAACGTCGGCTTGGGATTTGAGTTCAGGAGGTTTCCATTAGAGTTCTAAGGGCTTAGGGCTTTTGGGGTTTAGGGTCTGACGGATGGTCTTGCATGGAAATTCCGGCGCACACCTGTGGCTTCCGAGACCGTGCGTGAAACGAGGCCGTAAGCCGGGGTGTAGAGGTTTCGGGATATGCGATTTGCTTAGGAGTTCAGGGTTCAGTGCATGGATGCTGTTGGGCTGTAAGCTGCTTAAATCCGAGGGCTGGAGGGCCCTAAAAACAATAAGAACCCTAAGAACCTAAAGGGGAACAATTGAAAACAAAAACCTTGGGAGATTCAGAACGCTCCCTTGACCTAAACAGCAGAGGTCCTTCTGATCTCAAGGACCTTCAACATGCGGTTTAGGGATCCGAGGATGCTAACGAGTAGGATTTAGGATTCGGGCTCGCGGGGAGGGCTTTCGGCTCAGGGCGTACTGGGCTTCAGGCTGGGGGTTGGTCTCGGGTTTGGGGTTTGGGGTTTAGGGTTTAGGGTTTAGGGTTTAGGGTTTAGGGTTTAGGGTTTGGGGTTTAGGGCTAGCGTTTGGGGTGTTGGGGGCTGAAGTAGCCACGTGGGGCTTAGGCTGGGAATGGAGACGGAAGCTTGAGGAAAAGACTCCTGATGTGAAGTTCTGGATGTCTCTAGCTACCACATGGACCCACCCCTTAACCCAACACCCTCAATGCACCCTAAGCCCGCAATCCAAGAATCCCCCTAAACCCTAAGCCCTAGACCCTAGACCCTAGACCCTAAACCCTAAACCCTAAACCCTAAACCCTAAACCCTAAACCCTAAACCCTAAACCCTAAACCCTTGCCCTTAACCAACAAAGCCCTAGCATCCTAGACCCAGCGGCTGGCCAGATGAAAGGAACGCAGCCCCTGCTCTGGTGCAGAGGCAGCTGCTGCGCCAGGTCGCCCGTCACAGAAAGTAAAACGAAAAAAACAAACCCTAAACCCTAAATAAACCCTAAACCCTGAAGCCCTCAACCCTTCCGACAAAGGCGTGGACCAGGTGGAACTTTGGCCCTCCTAGTCCTCGCGAGTCCAGGTGATGATGCCAAGCCGGCCCCAGTGGCGCCACCTGGGAGGTTCAGGGTTTAGAGGGTTTTTAGAGCTGAGGGTTTCGGGTTTAGGGCTTAGGGTTTAGGGTCTAGGGTCTAGGGTTTAGGATTTAGGGTTTAGCGCTAGGACTTCAATTTGAGGCAGTTTGGGGCTTAGGGAGCTCAGGGGTCTAGGGTTACGGTTCAGGGGTCAGGTTTGGGGCGCTTGAGGGGTTGGAGGCCCTGGTCCCTTGCGGTCCTGTCGGGGGGGGGGGGGGGGGGGGATGCTAGCTCAGCTTGGCTATTTATCTCGATGCCTTGTGCGTTTAAGGCTAAGAGCGTTGAGGGTGTCGAAAGGACCTCCCCCCCCTCCCCCCAACAAAAAACAACATAACAGAACTAAAATCCGAGACCCGGAACTCTGTCTTCGACAAGGCTTTAGGCTTCGAGGAGGGTTGAGGGTTTTAGGGGTTGAGCGCTGAGGGTTGTAGGTTTTCAGACTTGAAGCTTTGGAGTACTTTAGGGCTTGGGCTTCTTCAGGGTTTAGGGTTGCAACATCATGGACAGTTGACCCCTAATTCCCTCCCACAAAGCACCACTTATGCTAAACACAACTAGAAGCAGCAACAATAACAAGAGTAACAATAACCGTCATGTCAATGATGATGGATAATAGTACCTATGAGAATAATACTGACACTTATGAAAGGCCTGATCCACAGGCCGTGGCCCAAAAGTCCCCAAACCTTGCCACTGCCCTGTATACCTGAAAACAACTCATGAGGACATCGGCCCGTGCGGCTGTTCGGAGAGGGTTTAGGGCTTGGGGTTTAGGGTTAAAGGTTTAGGGCTTAGGGTTCAGGGTTTGGGGTTTAGGGTTTAGGGTTTAGGGCTTAGGGCTTAGGGCTTAGGGCTCATGGCTTGGGGCTTGGGGGGTGTAGGGCTCAGGGCTTCAGGTAGACGGGGCTGTAAGGGCATGCCCATCAAGCAGCTCAATAAAGTCTTCGTTCGTGTTGTCCATCTGCACGGTCTGCAGAGCACCGGCCCCAAGCCCCAATCCGGGGGTTTAGAGGGTTTAGGCCTTAGGGTTTAGGGTTTAGGGTTTAGGGTTTAGGGTTTAGGGTTTAGGGTTTAGGGTTTAGGGTTTAGGGTTTATAGGCCTGAAGAGAACTCCAGCCCCAACCAACAAAAGCAAATGCACTGGGGGGATGGGTGTAGGGACTAGGGTTTAGGGTCTACATAAACAACCCGAACCCCAGATCTCTCATTTCAACTCTAGCACGGTCCCAAATGCTGCGCCATGCCGACTGACACCCGAAATCCGAACCCTCATCAAGACTTGGGCTTACATTTTTGCGTTTAGGGGTTTTGTTGGGTTTAGGGCTTAGGGACTTTCAGGGGTAAGGGCTTTGGATTCTTGGCTTCAGGGGGAACGGCTGTTTGTGGATCTGCGTGCAGTAGCGATGCTGGGATAAGCACCAAGAACCTAAGCAAACTAGATCCGAAGCCCTAAACGCGCATACCGCACCTCTGGTTCTTCAATCCTGAACCTCAACACTCTGAACTTGCTCAGGGCTTAGCGGGCTGAGGGGTCTCAGCTGGGCCTGTTTGACCTTGTCTGGGTAGACGATGAGCCCCTCCTGCCCGGGACGAGCGAGAGCGATTAGGGTTTAGGGTTGAGGGCTTCTAGTTGAGGTTTCATGTAGGATTTTCTTGGTTTCAGGGGTGCAGAACAGCCCTTCCTGAACCCTTCTATTGGCCCCATGTAACCCTTCAAGGGTACATGCCAAGACGCCCTGCAAACTGGGCTTTAGGGTCTGGGAGGGGGGAGGGCGGTGGGTAGATATGGGCGCCGTATTCTTGAATGGGGATCCAAACAGGGACCTATAAGTTTTTTCAGAGCTGACCCTTCAGTTTTTAGGGGGGAATGTTGGCTCTGTGTTTGTTTGTGGATGCTACGCAACTGAAACTGTCCTACACCCGAAACCAACCCTAACCCTAAACCCTAAACCCTAAACCCCAAACCCCAAACCCTAAACCCTAAACCCTAAACCCTAAATCCCGACACAAGTTCCAGCCTCAGGGTCGATGACAAGGTTCTTGCCCTGCACGCTCTTGTTTGAGGGATTAAGATTTAGGGTTTAGGGTTTGGGATTAAGACTTAGGGTTTAGGGTTTGGGGTTCAGGGTTTAGGGTTTAGGGTTTAGGGTTTAGGGTTTAGGGTTTAGGGTTTAGGGTTTGGGGTTCAGGGTTTAGGGTTCAGGGTTCAGGGTTTAGGGTTTAGGGTTTAGGGTTTAGAGTTTAGGGTTTTGGGCTTAGGGTTTCTTGTGCTGGGCAGGCAACGCCTCAGGAAGACTTCCGATTGATCGGATCTAAGGCTCTTTGCCTAGTGTGGGGATCAAGGTTCAAGGTTATATGGTTCAGGGCTTGGGGTTTATGGTTCATGGTTCAGGCCGTAAATATCAGTGACGGCGCTTGGCGACGGAGAGCTTGGCACTCGGAGCAGCGAAGCCCCTCAACCCTGAACCCTGAACCTGAACCCTGAACCCTGAACCCTGAACCCTAAACCCTAAACCCTAAACCCTAAACCCTAAACACTAAACCCTAAACCCTAGACCCTAAACCCTAAACCCTGAACCCTAAACGGCCTTGTGCGTGAACTTGTTGTCCTTGACCTCGATGTGCTCCTTGACCCCAAAGTAGGCCTCTCCAGAGGGTGTAGGGCTTAGGGTTTAGGGTTTTAGGGTTTAGGGTTTAGGGTTTAGGGTTTAGGGTTTAGGGTTTAGGGTTTAGGGTTTCGGGTTTAGGGTTTAGGGTTTAGGGTTTGGGGTTTAGGGTTTAGGGTTTGGGGTTTGGGGTTTGGGGTTTAGGGTTTGCTTTTGAGTTTTAGCCTTAGCCCTAACCACACCTAACTCCCAAAACGCTAACCCTAAACACCTAACTCTAAACCGGAAGGCCTTGTACTTGATCAGCCACTTTCCATTGAAATCGGGCATCGCCGGAGGCTCCGGCTCCTGTCAGGGTTTGGGGCTCGTTTCTTGATGAGGGTTGAAGGTTCCGGGTTGAGGGTTCGAGGGTTGCTCTCTCTCTCTCTCTCTCTCTCTCTCTCCCGCTCTCTCTCCATCTATATATATATATATATATATATACATATATGCATGCTATATGTATATATATATGTAGATTATAGAAGGCTTAGGGATTCAGAGTTTCGGGTATGGGCTCTTTGGGTTTGGGGATCGTGGGGTTTGGGGGCTTAAGGTTAGGATCGGGTTGAACAGTTTGCGAGCTTCAGGGGAGAGACTTGAGCGCTTCGGGTGGACAAGGTGTCGGGTTTGCGCTTTGCGGACCAAAGCAGAAGTGGTTAAGACCAAGCCGAGCGCTTATGGCGAAAGCCTAAGCCCCATGCCCGAATCTCCAAGGACCTGAACTCAAGGATGTGCCGTTCCAGGGTTTAGGGTTTAGGGTTCAGGGTTCAGGGTTCAGGGTTTAGGGTTTAGGGTTTAGTGTTCAGGGTTTAGGGCCAGAAAGGGACCCTAGTGTCTGACAAGGCTGAGAGGCTGTCAAGGTGCAATGGTTT